ACAATGATTTACTGGTAGTCTCGAAATCCTACTTTCTTACGAATATAAGTTGTTTGACCTTATTTTTGCAACTTGGTCATATTGGTAGGAAGACTTAGAGGAACGCACCTAGTTCGGAGCCCATTGCATGCATGATACTTTACAGAGCCGGAACGTGGACGTGGTACATTCCAAGACGTTTCTCCGGCATCGTAGTCGGAATCGTCAGTGAGTCTTGCCATTCTTAGCACCGCACTACCACTCGTCAAAGAGACAAATGCAGCCGATCCTTCGATCAAATGTGTGCTAAACACTAAAAATTGTGATAGTGAAGGTGTGATACGAGGATATAGGAAATGTGAATAGCCCAGGGCAGAAGGGGAGATAGCACAAGAGTTTAGCACACGTTTGGTCAAAGGATCGGCTTCACTTGTTGTTGTGTGCTGCTAAGAATCGCAAGACTCACTGACGACGCCGGCGAAGCGTCTGGGAATGTACCATGTCCAAGGTCTGACTGGAAAGGATAATGCATACAATGGACTCCGGACTAGGTGCGTTCCTCCAAGTCTTCCTAACAATAGGACCAAGTTGCGAAAACAAGGTCAAACAACTTCTATACAACGAAAGGAGACTGCGATCACACAAAAGGCCACACCATCTTGGTCTTCATATCTTAGCTTTAATATCGTTGGCAATTTAGACCGTAGTAGAAGCTGTCTGTAATAATCCTCTAATCAATGAGTCGTTTTGGAACCAAAATTCGCCTTCACTTTTTCATTCCTTTTCCCTTTATTTCTGTTGCCTAGGCCGATGATATATATGGGCTTTGGTATTTGTGGCTTACATTGGCCAACTAACTTGAGTTTGTAAATGGTATCCAAATAGCCAATCAAGCTAACAGGGTTTCAGTTACAGTATAGGCGGCCAAGGTAAAAATTCCCCGCAAGAATTTAGCCAACAATAAAGCAAACAAAAATAGGACTCCGGCCAAATTTAAGTGAACGTAGAGACCCCATTAATGTATTGAAACGGCAAAAGTTAGCTCTAAAAACAAGCTCCAAAAAAGCCCAAAATATGCTAGAAAGTTTTCTTGGCTCAGTCAATAGCCTCCTAAATAGGCAAGAAAGAATATGCCCATCGAAGACAGGTAAAAGCTTGCAGACAGTAGCAGGTGCAACTCGGATGATTTTCACATATTGAAAGTTGAATAAGTGGTTACGAAGTGGGGGCTACTCCTAGACCAGGTAGAAATAGAACACAAGTTTTCCTTTGATCATCGCAAAATCATCTTCTTAGTTTCCTAACCTACAAGTCAATCGCAGAATTTTTTATGGAAAATATTTTCAGACGAGTTTACCATATAAACTATGCTTAGCAGAGGTGGTTTGTAAAACGAAATGCTTCTTAATATGGTGATTGAGTATTCCAAAACTAATAGCCT